TCATCTACGCCCCCTCTACACGCCGGATCACCTGAAGGACTTTCCCTTTGATTATACAGGTATTTAACCGATGGAATGGCATCAATATGTGAATTTGCTCCTGACGACGGCGTGTATTCACGCCGAAACGCGCGTCGAGCGTTTTTCTTTTCATTTATTATTTACTTTCACTTTTTTGGGTGGCACATAAGTAGTCAGTATGATTACAAGAGTTAGTGTTCTAGTTATTTTGGTTTCTTAGGCAGGCTTTTTCAGTCTCCTTTTGGGCTTTATATGCAAGGGTATTTTTATTAGGACCCTATTGTCCATAGGATTCGAGCCTGCTTGTGAGAGGGGGATTTTTCTTTTTCTTTGGATTTTTAGTCCTAAGTTCTGCCTGTATCTGGAAGCTGTGGGTGGTTTAGGGTGGAGTAGGGGTTACTCTGTCACTAATTTTGTTCCTCTACCCCCTTCATCCTTTTTGCCCATTATTACATGGCATTTTTCCTTCCCCCCCCCCCACCTCTTCTATGACTCCATTTACCTCTAGATACTATATTTCCTTTTTTCTGTACCAGAGCTACCCCTTTTGGGATCCCCCTGTTCCAGGGGTCTCCTTTATTGTATGTATTTATTTTCATTTTGGGTTACCCCCTATTTTGTAGCTCTGAAGTAGGCTATCAGGACAGACCCCACAGCCTCACAATTATTTGCAACGCTGTGGTGGTATCCTGTATTTCTTATTTCTCCTTTTATAACTTTGAAGTTTTACACTGTGTCCATGTTCCAATTTGGAGTAGTTTAGATGTTTGGTTATTGAAACTTCCCCACAAACACATACTATATATTAAAGAATACACCCTGGGGTAATTCAAAAGGCATATTTTGAACCTTGGCGTGGGATCATTATTTCTCTAGGTTGTTCCAGGTGTAGTGGTAATGAGCGTTTTTAAATGTATTTTTTTACTTTTTAAAACTTTTTTTCTTTTAAAAACTAGTTTTAAACTTTTGTTTTGCTTATTAATTTTTTAAACTTTCCTAAACTTTCTTAAAACTTTTTTTTTTTTTTTTTTTTACAGATTTAACATTTTTCTAACTTTTTTTTTTACCGTTAACCCCTAACTAGCAGTAAGCAGCACTTTCAGTAAACTCCCCATTTTCCCATAACTCCCACCCACCCCAGCTAGCAAAATATATAATTATAAAATATTTAAATTAGTTAATTAAATAAATTGAACCTGAGTGTTAAAAAATAAATAAAAGTTAATCGTCAGGGGTTAAAAAAAATTAGATCACAGTATAATATTGTGACCTGTATTTTGATTAATGTAGGCAGTGATCTACTGGCAGGGAAGGGGTTAATTTTTATTTGGACTGGCTAAAGGGTTTTTAATTTTTTTCTTAAACGTTATTAAAACAACTTTTTAAAGCTTATTTTAAAACTTTTTTTAACGTTAACCCCTAGTTAGCCTAACATCAAATCCCCCAATTCCCCACTAACTTCCACCCACCCCAGCTAGCTAAATTTATAATTTTTAAAATACTTAAATTAATAAAATAAATTTAACCACTGAGGGTTAAAAAAAAAAAAAAAAGAATTAAGCCTCAGGGGTTAATTTTTTTTTATCATATAGTAAAATGTAATCCCTGCCAATTGATCACTGTAGTCAGTGATCAATTGGCAGGGAAGGGGTTAATTTTTTATTAATGGGTAAAGGGGGGTGGGATTTTAAATTAACTTTATTTTTCTTTTCTAACAGGGACAAGATCAGTGATGATCCGTCTCCCTGCACTTCACACAGAACCAGGAAGTGCAGGGAGGCAGAAGGTGAGTATATACAGCACATGTGCTCGCTCTGACAGCCTGTCAGAGTAAGCACCGGTACTGGGGCAGCGAGATCGGGTGCTCCCGGTCTGCCTCTAGTACAGAGGCAGACTAGAGCACCATTAACCATTAACCCCGCGATCACGGCGATCTGGGGTTAATTTTACCGCGTGACGGACAAGGTCCGTCACTCGTCGTTAAGGGTTTCCCCCCTCGTCCGTCACTCCTCATTAAGGGGTTAAAGTTTATTCTTGTTACTTATCAAAGAACCCTTCGAATATTGGCACTCATTAAGAACCAGAGGGGGAACTGCAGTATCCAGTGGAGCATCAGATTTTCCAACACTTGATCCCAGCAACCATTTGCTTTTATTCCAAGGTGCTTATAGTCTGAGCCTACTTCTAAAGGCTCAGTACCACATGAGTGGGACCATTTGGGTCTATTTATTTTTTTTAAATCATTCATACAGGTTATACTATGATATAGTGTTTTCTGTTTTTGAGGATATATCCTGATAAATGGTAACCTGCATGTTTGTTATTATATGTTAATTGATGTGTGGTCTCACTGTACTCTTTACTCACTACAATGCTGGCAAAGAATCATGGGAGACTTAGTCTAAAACATCTGGAGTGCCGAAGCTTGCCTAGAACTGGTATAGATGATGATGTGTGCGTAGGGGATCTAGTGTTTGGAGAACCCAGAGTGTACGTAGAGGATTTAGTGTGTGTAGAGGATTCAGAGTGTGTATAGGGATTCTAGTGTGTAGAGGATCCATAGTTATGTACGGGATCTAGGGTGTGTGTATAAGGGATGTAGTGTGTTTGTCTAGTATGTGTAAGGTATGCACAGGGTGTGAAGGGAGCAGTGTGTGTAAGGGGTGCGGTGTTTGGGGAGCTGTGGGGTAAAAAAATAAAACATATGTACTTTTTTGTAATTATTATTTTCTTCTTATTATATTTACCTCACATCTTACCTTTGGCAGGGGGCGACCTTGTTGCCAGCCCTGGTGGTCCATGAGGAGTGAACTCTACCATGCAGTTCCTGGGGTAGAGTTCACTCTTGCGAGATTGGAGCGTTGCCATAGTAACCGCTGCAACGCTCCGATCTCACGAGAGGAACCCGGCAGAGCTACAGGATAGAGCTCCCCCGGGTCCTTTATCCCTCCCTCCCCCGCATCTGACGGGTGCATTGTGCATTTGGGGTGCAGTGAGTGTGTGTGTGAGGGGTGCAGTGAGCGTGTCTGAGGGGTGCAAAGTTTGTGGAGCTGTGTGGTGTAGTCTGTGTGTGTGAGGGGTTCACTGTGGTGTAGTGTGATGTTTGGCGTGCAGTGTGGTGTTTGGGGTGTAGTGTGTGTGAAAGGTGCAGAGTGGTGTTTGGGGTGTAGTGTGTGAGGGGTGCAGTGCGAGGTTTGGGGAGCTGTGGGGTAAAAAAAAAAAAAGAAAACATATGTATACTTTTTTGGTAGTTATTATTTTTCTATTATTATATTTACCTCACTTCTTACCTTTGGGAGGGGGGGCCTTGTTGCCAGGCCTGGTGGTCCCGTGAGGAGTGAACTCTACCATGCAGTTCCTGGTGTAGAGTTCACTCTCGCGAGATTGGAGTGTTGCCATAGTAACCGAAGGATAGAGCTCCCCTGGGTCCTCTATCCCTCCCTCCCCCGCCGGCGGCCGCATCTCAGTGCCTGTGGGCCCATGAAGGCACACAGCAGGGCTGGCGCTCTAATAGAGCTGGCTTTGCATGGGCCGGCAGGGGAGATACACTGATCCTGGCCCACAGGGCATTTGCCTGGTATGTCCGTTGGCCAGTCCGGGCCTGGTAGTGTTGTATGCATAAATAGTGTGATGATGGCTTTGTGCTCCCTCCACATACAAGAAGACAAGTACCATATAGCATATTACCAAAGCATTATATGTAAATATGTGCTTTACACTTAATTCAATAAATTCAGCTTCCACAGACGTACAGCTTAATAACCACAATACTTGATTACTGTAAAGATAAATTTTATTTTTCACATCATAAGTGTCCCATTAAAAAAAAAAAAAATCTGAAGTCAAATAAAATGGTTATTTTTTGTTCAGGGAGACCATAGTTTCCATTACCTCCTGTGAAGCATTACTAATTTAGAGTCAAGTACCATAAACGTCATCCAACGTATTCACTGTAATGTGAATATTTCTGCTTGTCAACTAAACTTATCCGTAGTGGGGGAATCATTAGGAATGTGTGGCTGTTGGATAATGATGAACAAGATCTATCATTATGTACATTAGTGGACTGGAATTTTCCACTGATTTACAGTTGGGTGTAGGATGGTCAAAAAACTGCACATATATACACCTCTACTGTGTATCAGTGGACAAAAGTGGGAGCTTTGCAATGGAATAGTAAACCAAGAGAGTTCCTAGGATTTAAAGGGTTACTCCAGGCACTATAACCACTTCAGTCATTTGAAGGAGCCATGCTGGAGTCTAGCTTTGAACGGTGTAACTCCACCTCCAGTAACATCTCCAAGCCAGAAATAGAGTTCCACTCTGACTAATGTCAATTCTGTGCAAATTTGGATGCACAGAATCTAATTCAACAAAGGATTGTCAGAATCTGCATCTGGCTTCTGCAGCTCTACACAAGTCAGATGTGAAATCTTGCTTCAGTGGAGACCCGGTGCCCAGCAGGACCAGGTAATCGGGCAAAAGTTGTAAAACTGTTTTCCCCATAACCAGGATACAGACACGAGGGGAATCCTACCATGCCAAGTAAACAACATATAGTCCACTACAAAGGTTATACGTAATAAATAGTGTATAAAGCATGTGCTTTGATAAGAAATGGGAGGATAGAAGAATCACTTGCTTTTAAACTTCAATCAAAAATTGATATATTACAGTGCAGCATTTAAAATTCTAACAAACAAAAAGGTTTGCACAGTGTTAAATACCATAACAAAAACAGAGAAGTTTGGCCTTGTATGTCTAGGCAGTAATGATCCTTCAATATTTTCCACTGTGGGTTAATGAGTAATAGAGAATAAAGAAGGAAATGGTAAGGATTGACATATAGTAAAAATGCTAGTTTAAATTAAGTATTACAAAGGGATTAAAAAAGACAAAACAACCCACACACAATATATATATATATACACATTGAAATGGAGCCAGGACACGGATGTTGGAGATTTTCATCATAATCCCTAATACCACCCGTTGTAATTCCAGTACGGAGGCCTGCCGCTGAAGTCTTGCCAATTCTGGAGAGAAAATACAAACAGAAATTATTACAGCAGTCTGGGACCAATGAGAATAATAATAAAGTGTATGAGAGGTGTAAAATGGCTGCAGGTTAATGTATCCAGTATAAAAAAGCATTAATAGAATGAAATGACACTCCCACCTGTACCTCGCTGTACTGCAGATTGTAGTTCTGTGGTGCAGTGAACCTATTCTGTTGAGGACGGTGTGGTCCACGAAAACTCTTCAAAACCTAATAGTGAGGGGAAGAATAAGGAAAGACTTTTCAAGAATTGGTTCATAAAAAATATACATTGGACATCCCAAATCTGTTAATTTCACTGCAGTTTAAAATAAATAAATAAAAAACAAACAAATACCCCAAGGACTTTACCCAACACATGCATTCATATTATTCTTACCCCTTTTGTTCTCGGACGTTGCTGTATTTGTGAAGGCCGGCGATAGGGATGTGGCTTTGAAATCTCCTTGAAAGTGTTCCTAGTTGTGTCTTTCTGAATAGGGCCTGTACAATGGAAAATATAGAAAATGTTAAGACACAGTGGTGTAGGGAAGTGGACCACTCTATGACAGTTTGGGCAACAGAAAAGGCAGATATAAAGAATAACAAACATTGTTAGAAATCTGTACAAATGAATACGTGACCCAACTTTGTGCACGGTGTTCTAAACCACTTACAGCAATTAGCTATCCACTTTAACATTAGAACAGAAAATAGCGTAAACACAATTGTCTATAGCAATATCTTTATAGAGTATATGCATAGAAAATCTAAAAATGATAACGCAGAAACAAAGTCAGGAATGTGCGTACAAAATAGTTTCATTTAAAACACAGCAACCCATTAAATTAACACTCATTGCCTACGCCTGGCGGTGCAGGGCCAGCTCAGTGCTAAGAGTGATCAGCTGACACTCTTTGTAAATGTGCTATCCCTGCACTACGGGGCTTAAATGGACACTATAGTCACCTAAACAACTTTAGCTTAATGAAGCAGTTTTAGTGTATAGATCATGCCTCTCAGGTTTCACTGCTCAATTCACTGCCATTTAGGATTTAAATCACTCTGTTTCTGTTTATGCAGCCCATGCCACACCTCCCCTGGCTCTGATTGACAAAAAAAAACAAACTAGTTTCATTTTCAATCAGATGTAATTTACCTTAAAGGACCACTCTAGGCACCCAGACCACTTCAGCTTAATGAAGTGGTCTGGGTGCCAGGTCCTTCTAGGGTTAACCCATTTTTTTATAAACATAGCAGTTTCACAGCCTTCACAGCCTTCACAGTGAGAGCACGCAAGCGTCCATAGGAAAGCATTGTAAATGCTTTCCTATGCGACGGGCTGAGTGCGCGCGCAGCTCTTGCCGCGCGTGCGCATTCAGCCCAGGAGGAGGAGAGCTCTCCGCCCAGCGCTGGAAAAAGGTACGTTTTTAACCCTTTCCCCCTTCCAGAGCAGGGCGGGAGGGGGTCCCTGAGGGTGGGGGCACCCTCAGGGCACTATAGTGCCAGGAAAACGAGTATGTTTTCCTGGCACTATAGTGGTCCTTTAAACAATTTTATCTCTTGCTCTGTAAATTGCATTTTAATCACATACAGGATGCTCTTGCAGGGTCTACCAAGCTATTAACATGGGGAAAAGAAAATCTAAATTATACAGAACTTGCAATAAAGGAAGGATAAACATTAGATTACTCTTTACAGGAAGGGTTTATGAAGGCTGTGCAAGTCACATGCAGGGAGGTGTGACTAGGGTTCATAAACAAAGGGATTTAACTCCTAAATGGCAGAGAATTGAGCAGTTATACTGCAGGGGCATGATCTACACACCAAAACCATTTAGCTAAAGTTGTTTTGGTGACTATAGTGTCACTTTAACTCAGTAGAGCTACTGGAAGATTCTGAGCAGGAGCGTCCGGGTCTTGCTGAGCTGTAGAGGAGGCAGGGAGCAGCACTAAGCAGAACCCAGGTAAGAAGTCAATCTGTTCTAAAACCTCCTTAAGGTAAGAAGTCTCCTTGTTGCCATCCATGACCTGTACAGATGATACAGGTGATACAGAGCTGGCACTCTGAAAGATATTGAGAAAGTACAGCAAGGATTTAAAAGTGACATTTGTAAGGACAACTCCTTGTAACCATAAAAATACACTGTGGTGGTTATGGTGCATGGACTGTCCTTTATTAAAGGACGAATATACCTGGGTCATACACATACAATGTGAATGTTACCTAAAATAACAGCAACAAACACAGATGCATTAATAACATGATCAGAGATTTAATGCGGAGACTTCTCTTGATTAAGTAAATAATGGAACCTACATTGTAACCCTTGGCTTTATCAAATTCTTTATTTACTAAACGGAGTATCGGTACATCGGTGATTGAATAGTCTGTGACTATTCATACATTGAACATGCACAAAGGTCTTATTCCATTATAAGGGAGAAACCAATGGCCCCACCACTTAACTTATGGTTACAAATTATGGAGGAGCTACGTTCCATATCATAGTTTGTTTTTAGTGCGATAGGTGCATGCCCACCTACCCAACAAGCTTGACCCAATGGATGATGAGACACAGCTGAGTTCCAGGTGAAACTGAAGTGCGAGTATAATAGTTAGCAGGTGTTTTTTTTTTTTTTTTTTTTTACAGCGAAAGGGTGAGGGAGAAGCAGAACGGGGAGAAGGACATGTTTACAGGGAATGATATGATGTATTATTGTGAGGTTTTAGAATGGAGACCTCTCTGTTGGATTCATATAAAACACATGGAAACGGTAAACAATGGGCATCTTGCATGCTGTTTATCTACATTGTAATACATGAAAGGATTAACATTTCAATTATCAAAAACTGAGGGGCAGTATTTTGTAACACAGAAAAAAAAAAACTAAATAAAAAAACAAACCAAAATAAAAAAAGTCCTATTTGGTAAACAGACCCAGCTTTTCATATGCTTCTTTCTTGAGATTCCAGATCACTGTTGCAGATTCTCCATGACTGAGCTCAGAATGAATGACCATGCTCACATGTAATATCTTCTTCTTTGGGATACTGAAATGAGCTGGAGAAAAGCACAAAGAGGCCAAAGAAGAAAAACAGTCTTTAAAAGCCGACATTGCATCTGACAGCATAAGGAAAATAGGAGCATGTCAAGGCAGAGCATTCAGCATTGATCAATAAGGAGAAAAGATGGAGGCACTCCGTTCTAGGATAGAGTTATATACAGCAAGTCACATAAGACATCATTTGTTAAATATAGGGGTTAAAGTTAAACAGAACATTTTTTAAATACTTGATAATTCTGTATATGGTTAAAAGACACAACATGTGTAACTGGAGAGGTTCCGAAGTGCACTGTCTAAAAATTAACAAATACAACATTCAAATATACATAAACTTTAAACTATAATACTTATACTTGGTACACTCATGTGGAGAATATAGATAGTCTCACCATCTCCTGGTAGTTAATATTCACAGAAAAGTTTATTTCTTAAATTAAAAATTGGTCTGTCACATTAGACCAATTGCCAACAAGCAAATATAAATAAGTAATCACAAACACTGTTATAGGCACATTGTATCTGGTAAGCTGGAAAGTAGGCTTAAGTGAAAGATCTTATCCTTATTGATCAACAAATGCATCACAGCAAAGGGCAAAAAAAACAGTCTAACAGTTTAAAAAGAAAATGAAATAATCTTTTGTGACAATATCAACAAAAACAAGTTGGGTTTTAGAACAGGACAGACACAGAGAAGCTGCTTTTATCCAAACCCACAGAACAGACACATTACCTTGTCTAAGCAGCCCTAAAACAAATATGGTCTAATGGAAATACGAGACAGTTCTCAAGGCAAAGGGGGTATTTACATTATTTTCCCATTTGCTGTCAGGCATAGCCATTGTTCTGCTACTAGAACATAAAGTGGGATGCATACTCTAGATTTTGTAAGATTAAAATGTTGCCCACAACTTCAAGAAACTGTGGAATAATGCAAATCGTTCAATGAAACATTCAAGAAAATGTGGAAGAGTCCATTGGCTAGGAAGGCAAACTACAAGCAATCTGAAGAGACAAAAATAGCCACAAGGAACCATGTTTGCTGTTGATACAATTTACCATTGGACTTGCATACAAACAACTGCATGATCTGAATGTTCTGTGAAATACCAAGCTTCCAACAGTTACGGATCTGAAGCAGTGTTAAAGGACTACTATAGGCACCCAGACCACTTCAGCACTTCAGGGTGCTCTGGCCCCCTGCCAGAGCACCTGTTCTATGTTGGTATGAAAGCCTAAGTCACCTCTTACCTGTATATAGTACATAGTGAAGTTATTAATTGTGCTTCCGTAGATTATACAGATGATTGGGAAGCCAAAACGGGTTTATCGGTCCAGCTAGGGTTAACCCTTTTTTTTTTTTTAAATAAACATAGCAGTTTCAGAGAAACTGCTATGTTTATAATATGGTTAATCCAGCCGCCAGTGGCTGTCTTTTGACAGCCGCTAGAGGCGCTTGCGTGCTTCTCAATGTGATTTTCACAGTGAGAAGACCCCAGTGTCCATAGGAAAGCATTGTGAATGCTTTCCTATGGACTGGCTGAATGCGCATTCAGCCGATGACGTCGCTATGGAGGAGGAGAGGAGGAGGAGAGCTCCCCACCCGGCGAAGGAGAAAGGTTTCTAAGATTCTAACCCTTTCCTCTGCCCAGAGCCCAGCGGGAGGGGGACCCTGAGGGCACTATAGTGCAAGGAAAACTAGTATGTTTTCCTGGCACTATAGTGGTCCTTTAATTTTGGCGGCAAATTTCAATTTAGTTTTAGTCAGTCTTTTGACTAAAAAGCCATTTTAGTTTTAGTCGTATTTTAGTCATCTGCAATATTTTAGTTTTAGTCGACTAAACTTCCAGTAGATTTTAGCCAAAGCCTCTTGTCTCTTTTGCTCCTTCCCCAGCTCCTCTGTGTCTCTGTGTGTGTCCCCAGCCCAGGTCTGTCTCTTCTGCCCCTTTTCCAGCCACTCTGTGGCTCCTTGCCCTAGCCCGTGTGTGTCTTTTTCTCCCATAGCACCTCTGTCACTTTGTGTGTTCCCCCCACTCCCCATATGTGTCTCTCATTCCCCGCCACCCCCCCATATGTGTGTCTCATTACCCCAGGCCCCCCATATGTGTGTCTCATTCCCCCAGCCCCCCCATATGTGTGTTTAATTTTATGTCACTTTACCCCACTCCCTCTAGCATGTAAGCTCATTGAGCAGGACCCTCAACCTCTTTGTTCCTGTGGGTCCAACTTGTCTGGTTACAACTACATGTCTGTTCGTCCACCCATTGTACAGCGCTGCGGAATTTGTTGACGCTATATCAATAATAACATAATAATCCCCCAGTCCCCCCCATTTGTGTCTCAATCCCCCCATCACCCCATCCCTCCATGTGTCTCAATCCCCCCTCCCGTCCCTCCATGTGTCTCATCCCCTTTTGTCCCTCCCAATCCCAATGAGATGTATAAAAATGCTTAAAGGGACACTATAGTCACCAGAACAACTACAGCTTATTGAATTTGTTCTGGTAAGTAGAATCATTACCTTCAGGTTTTTTGCTGTAAACACTGTCTTTTCAGAGAAAATGCAGTGTTTACATTAAAGCCTAGTGATAACTTCACTGGCCACTCCTCAGATGGCTGTTAGAGATCCTTCCTGGGTCATGGCTGCCTAAAATGCATTCAAACATTTAGTATCCCCTCCCTCTGCATGCAGACACATAACTTTCCTCAGAGATGCATTGATTCAATTCATCTCTATGAGGAGATGCTGATTGGCCCGGGCTGTGTTTGAATCATGCTGGCTCTGCCCCTGAACTGCCTCTTTGTTAGTCTCAGCCAATCCTATGGGGAAGCACTGTGATTGGATCAGGCTACCACTTCTGATGATGTCAGCAGACTGCTTGTTTTTTTGAGGCAAACAGCATGCAGATCTACAGCTTCAGGCTTGAATACAGTAAGATTTTGCTATATTTATGGAGGCATTACGGGCCCAGGGGGGCTTGATGGTGGTTTTAACACTATAGGGTCAGGAATACATGTTTGTGTTCCTGATCTTATAGTGATCCTTTAATGCCTTGCTTGGAAACCAGAATATGGGGGCACTAAAATATTAGATGTCAGGTAATTATACCTATAGTGGGAAAAGAGCAGGAGGGGGCACTGGGGTATTAGAATGTTTAGGATATAAATGAATGTGGGACAATAATGATTACTAGAGAATAACATTTCTGTTCGTAGTATTTTGTTACCTCTCATGTCTAAAAGGATAGGCTCTGGATAGATCTCTCCCTCCTCTTTGCGTAATGCCAGTCTCCTCTTCCATTCTTCTTCTTTAGGGACCACCAGAATGGCTTTACGGATGAAATGAGGAAACCACTTCAGCTTTCTTTTTTGAGCACCTTCATATACTGTGCACTGAAGAAGGAATAAATAAAGTGAAGAATGACAAAGGTTAGTGTTATGGGCATATGAAAATATCACAAGTTCTTAGAATAAAAAGTTGTATTTCTTAAACGGTGTACTTTGTCTTTAAGAGATATTGCAAAGGGAGAAGTTACTAGAAGTGGAACATATTGGTTCTCATACAATGTTTCTTTACTAAATGATCACTTACCAAGAGTCAGTGAATATGATGTTTAGATTTAAGATGCCATCTAATCCTAGGTTAGTGTGACACCAAGTCAAGGCATTGCCTATATCAGTGATGGCGAACCTGTGGCACGCCGGGCCCTCTGTGGGCACGCGGCCATCAATGCAGAGTAAGCACCTATCTTCCCAAAACGGCAGATGCCTACTCTGCTTTCTTGTTGAGAGGACCGGAAGCAGGGAGAGGGATCTCGGAAGCAGCTGTCCTGTCCTCCCGCGAGCAATCTGTGTGGAGTGTTGCCGCGCGTTCCCATGGCAACGCTCCACACAGCATCGTGCGGGAGGACAGGAGAGCTGCTTCCCGGTCACACTTACCACCACCGGACCACCAGGGATGGCAGTGTCCCCCCCACCCCCCCTTCACCAAAGGTAAGAAGAAGGGAGGGGTACAGATTTAATATACCTTTCCCCTCCCCTTTTTTTTTTAAATGTATCTTCCCCCCCAGAGCACCCCTAGCCTCCCCCTCACCCCCCACAGGACCCCTAGCCCCCCCAAAACCCACCCGAGCACCCCTGTACAGTAAGCCCTGGTAAACTATATGCTTTAAGAGACCTTATAGTGGTAAATAGGGAAACCAGCTGTGGTTACGATAAAAAAAATTTAAATTAAAAAAAAAACAGTGGGGTAGGGGAAATGAACAGAAATATTTTCACCTGATCAAGTATATAATTTCCTCTTCGGTGGCCAGCAATTGCTATGAGACGGTTTAGACATTGTGTGGCCACCTTTATCAAACGATCCCTGGTTTTGGAGTTCTCCTCAAAAGGCTCAGGTCCAGCAGTCTGTATAGAAATGAGAAGTGAGACTGTATGCATATCACATGTTGTCCTATACCTATTCCATACTCCATGCTTCATACCTTCAATTGTGGTATAAGTCGGTCTATACAAAGGTGTATATAATTCTTATCTGGGTTTTCTTGCATGTGTTTTTGAACCCAAGTTGTCTTTCCTGCACCAGGAAGCCCAACCATCATCAGTAACTGATAAGAATAAATGAAACAAAATGATTAATCTTTTGGGAAATTAATGTTTGTTGATCTTCATTTTGTTTTTCCAACAAAAGTCTCTTTTATACATGTAGTTGACATTTGTTGTGCAAAGAAACTTGCAGATGCAACATGACTGTTTAGTTTTAAAGAAATCAGAAACACAAAACGTACAACGTTTACTTCAAAATTATTTATGTTTGCCTGGGTTCAAAACATTCCACAAGCAAGTCCACTGCCCCACAATAGGCATGATACAGGAGATAAGGCCATGATTAAACTGACCACACCAATGGCAGTAGTACCGCATACCCAGGCCCCCTGCCAGAGCACCTGTTCTATGTTGGTATGAAAGTGATATCTTGTCCTTTACCTGTCTGCCTCTATATATTTAGAGTCAGCTGTCCTCAACTCAGCCTCGTCTGGAAGTCCTCTTTAGAGGTGGTCAGTAACCAGCATGACCAAATTGTTAAAGGACCACTATAGGCACCGAGATTTCAGCTCAATGAAATGGTCTGGGTGCTAGGTCCATCTAGGGTTAACCCTGCAGCTGTAAACATAGCAGTTTCAGAGAAACTACTATGTTTACATTAGGGTTAATCCAGCCTCTAGTGGCTGTCTCATGGGCAGCCGCTAGAGGCGCTTCTCACTGTGAAAATCACAGTGAGAAGCCGCAGACGTCCATAGTAAAGCATTGGGAAATGCTTTCCTATTGACTGATTGAATGCGCGCGGCTCTTGCTGCACATGCGCATTCAGCGCCGACGTCGGAAGAGAGATCCCCTGCGCTGGAGAAAGATAAGTGATTAACCCCTTCCTCCCCAGCCCGGCGGGAGTGGGACCCTGAAGGTGGGGGGGGGGACGGGACCTAAAGACCCTATAGTGCCAGGAAAACAAGTTTGTTTTCCTGGCAATATAGTGGTCCTTTAAGTACACATTTATCTTCTCAGTGGCTCCAAAATAGAATTCCTCTGTTGAGCATAACACTTCCATTTGTGTGAACTAGACTTTTAGTAGTGGACTGATTGATTGTTTTGCAGAACTGAGGTATAATCTGCTTAGCTACATTCAGTATGCGGATTGTGATCGTGACCTTGCCTTCGTTACTGTAGTGTGATGCAGTAGCCTCCAGCCGCCTTAAAAATAGGTGGATCATCTGAAAATTTGGTAAGCATGATATGAATGGTACTCCAGTATGGCTGAATCAGTGTACATTCCCACCATATGTGAAGGAATGTCCCCACCTCCTCTGTGCATCAAAACCCCAAATTTGTGGGATACATTTTTTAATATTGTATCGTGGTGTCTGGCATCAGCAGGTCAGAAGATTATAAGCGGCTTCCTTAGCCTTACTGGAAACTGAGCAATAGTGCGTCAGATCGCACATCGTTTTCCCAGCAAATTTCTCCCATATACTTATGGACAGCGGGAACTCTGTGGGGGTTTGTGATTGAAGTAAAGAGTAGAGACACGAACCTTGTGCCAGACTCCATGCATGTCAGGTCCCTTGCGTGGTATGACCAAACAATCAGGGAATTGACTGGGGAGTACCAAAAAAAAAAAAAAGTACAACAGTCACTGTCAATCTCCTTGGTTAGAAGAGTGTAGGGGAGTGATAGTGACTGAGCCTAAATCAAGCCTAGAAATCTCAACCACCTGTCTCAAAACACCAAGGCCAACGGGGGTTAGTGGAGGAGACCAGTATCTCCTTAGTGAGTCTAGCTGAGCTCGGACAAACCCGCTACCAGTCCAACAATGGCCCTTCAAGGGACTCCAAGAGCCCTACTCTGCCAGAACATAAGTGTCCCTCTCCAGGCTTGAAAACCACATAGTATGACATTAGTTTTGCAAATCGGTGTTGGCCTAAGGGCCTATAACGCTGTAGCTGAAGCGGGGAAAGTTGGTCACAGAAAGCCCCATGCGGATCTATCCGGGGAAAGAAGTGGATCACTACAATACCTATAGGTTTCTCTGGTCTATCTTAAATAACCTAGTTGTGTGGTGTAGATCTTGTACCATCCAACCCTTTAATCTCAGTCTTCCTGTGTTCTGTTATACTAGTGTAAGACTTTTTGCATACAAGTTTTTTTTTTCTTCTTTTTTTCCTTGCGGAAACAAAACCAAATTGTGTTATCTAACAGACCAATCCAATATTTATCTAGTTTAGCCTAATCGGGATAACGGTCCTCCAAATCTCCCCTGAAGACCACAATGTCACCATATATAGTCTCCAACAGATGATGATGCTGTGATTACTAGTTGCACCTTACAATTCAAAAGTAAGAAACGCAATACTGAACCTATATAAATGAGAAAAATAAATATAATGGGCAGAGCCCTCTGCTCAAGGGTACATATCCTCTGTCACCTTCCCCCAGGCTCTTTATTTCTACTTGGAAGCACTATTGACCTGTTGGCAGTTCTGGTGTAGTAGAAGGTGTAGTGGAGTTGTCAAGGGTACCCTGGACACACATGAGTAGAAGGTCAGCAGATACGGCCATAGCATATGTACTGATGGGAATTGCAGTTAATAAAGCAGGGTCTCCATATAAGAAGTTTCCCTAACCAGGAAAGGGTCCTTTGAGGTGAGCACCATTAGTCCCGTGGGAAATTAGGATTTTGAGTTCAGCCATCTTTTTAGTGTAATATAACAATCTCATTTTCATACCACTTTGTGACATACCTCACATTCCTCTATCGATTTTGGCACAGGGGATGTTCGTCTCAGCTCCTGTGACGTCATGTCTTGCAGATATTTGAATCCACTACGTGGCTGATGCCATGGTTGAAGCTTCTGTCCAAAGTTAACCTGAAATTCACAGCCTTTGCATATCACATGGGGTATAAGTGCTTTGTCTCCAAGAGAACTCTTTTCCAAAACAAAGGCCTGACCAAGGTCTACTCCATTTTTGGAAAATGATAGCTTTATTTCAGCACCTTCCAAGTCCTGCCAAAGAAATAGAATATAGTTACATCTTTAAAAAAATTACAGTGGTCACAAATTGCTGAAACTGAAATTATGCAGCAGGTCTCTAAATCGGATACTCATTTTTATATACAAAAACATACACTCTCACACCTACATTACATAAAAAAACCTTTATCTTTTGAATTTCGAGAGGGATAACTTACAGCATAGCAGCCAATCACATCGTACTCTCTAAAGGTTTTCCCATAAATTTCAAAATGTGAATTGGTAGCCTTGAAGCCTCGGCTGTCATAAGCAAAAGACAGGTCATCCTCCCCTACAGAGGGAGATAAAAATAGAAAGGTAGAAATTGTATAGTGATAATTCTATGCTGTGTGGTGACTGTCCACAGATATTACATCGAACTCGCTGTAGTGAGATGCTATCATGTACTGTAGGAATCCGGTTTGATTAATGCACCAATTTGCTACCTGTGGCATTTGAGATCAATACACAGCAGAACATTCTTTATATGCTGCCCTTTGATATGTATAACTAAGGGTCCAGGACAACAAAGTGAATCTGTCAATCTGGCACAGCAACTATGCCAGGAACTGAGTGAAATGAGAGCAGGAGAACCCTCCTACAGATGGTTCCTCTGCTTTCGGTCACTGTGATAACATAACATAGTTGCTGTGTTTGTCCAACTGATGAGCACATCTCATGCTTTGAGGAATATCAGAAGATTCACAGCTCTATTTGGATGCCACTTAGCTGGCAATGAAGCCAGCATGTTAGAGTTAGGCAAGTGTTCCCAAAGATTTCTCACTATACCTAAATAGTGCATAAGGAAAAGTTTTCGTTTTACATGAGCTTATTATGACAAGTTTACTTAAAGGACCACTATAGGCACCGAGACCACTTCAGCTTAATGAAGTGGTCTGGGTGCCAGGTCCTTCTAGGGTTAACCCTTTTTTTTTTTTTATAAACATAGCAGTTTCAGAGAAACTGCTATGTTTATAATAGGGTTAATCCAGCCTCTAGTGGCTGTCTCATTGACAGCCGCTAGAGGGCTTCCGTGCTTCTCACTGTGATTTTCACAGTGAGAAGACGCCAGCGTCCATAGGAAAGCATTGTGAATGCTTCTCATGGACTGGCTGAATGCGCGCGCAGCTCCTGCCGCGCATGCGCATTCAGCCGAGGAGGAGGAGAGCGCCGCCCGGCGCTGGAGAAAGAGTTAAGTTTAACCCCTTCCTCTCCATCCAGCCCGAAAACGAGTATGTTTTCCTGGCACTATAGTGGTCCTTTAACGGCCTTTCTATACACTGTAAATATATCTTCTCTTTTTATATTCAACCAATATCTGACATACTACACTTTATATCGGTAGGTTTGTCCACATCTGAGGACTTTTCCCTTTTACCCTCACCCGGAAAGTAGAGACTGCCTTCTCCACTCAACCACAATGCTAAAAACCTAACAACTCCTATTTACTATAGTGAATGCACCAACTCTCCAGCAAGATTCCCCTGACTTACTAGAATAAAGATGTGATCCCAGGACTAAAGTGTAATGGTCACCTCTATTAAATCACTGATTAAAACATTAAAAGCCACACAAATTGCATCAATGCTTTTTTTCCCCCTTTGTGTGATGCACTGTTTTCTTGAAAATGAACAATAAAGATTTGGCAATTGATATCACAATCCAGTTGAGTACAGGCACACCCAGGGCACATATTGTACATGCTAAAAAAAAAAAAACAACATAACTATGCATGACAGGGATCCAAGATGGAGGATGGAGCTCCAGGATAGATGTAGATACAGCAGTGTATATGTGCAAATTTTTGGTGAAAGCAAAGAAAGCAAATATGATAACACTTATCACAATTAGATGCAGATAGAAAAATTACTACACTGCAAGACCCGTATATATCAAACTAGACATTGGGAAGTCTGCATTGGGCGTATATATTACAAGAAATCATTTTCCACAATTATCCCACAATTCCCAGATAAACATGCAAATGAGAAGACTGTCACCACTGTTTCTGACTTAATCCTGCTTTCCAGCAGATACCCTTAACAATGGAGCACTGTGTTAAATAGAGATTTTGTTTTTTGTACCAAATCATGTGTTATGACTGAAAAGTACCAGTAGCTGGTTTCTACTTCCCAAAGCCCAACTTTAGATATACAGAATGTATGTAACGCCAAAGCATAAAAAAATAAAAAGGTTCAACCTTCTTGGAGGAATGGGAGTTCTACCTATCCTATAGAATGAACATCAATCTCATGTAATTGCTCCTTCATGGGCTCTCATGTGCAACAACATAACATGGGTGACCTCAATCCATGAAATTACCTAACTGAGGTCCCGACTGGCCAACAGACCATCCAACACGTAGCAATGGGAATTCGGAAAAACCATCTTTTAGTGGAAGATTCACAGTTCTCTAATGTGGAAATAAACAAGAGGTTTTGTTAGCCATTAGGATGACAGGAAAGATCAGGACAAGCAAGCATGTGCCATCCATGAACAACAAACAGACAAACTTCAGATTCTATCAGTGTTTATGCAACTCATATCATACTATATAAGTCACTCACCAGATCTCTTCAGCAAAAGATAAACTCTTTAGCATAATAGTTACAGAATAGCCATCTCAAACCATAAACATGAATACATTTGGTTTTTTTTGCAATGTAAATAAGAATATATTCCCTTCAAAAGATGGAAACCATATTAAAGGTAAGCAGCTATAAATCTAATGTTGTAATATGTCACTACAAATGATTGTTGTCTGAAAAAGTGGTCCTTAGTATTCCACTAATAAAAACAAAAATTTCTGGTCATATGATTTTTCAATATGTATAGATTAGCCGGTTGTCTTGTTTCACATAAGGTAGCACTGGGACGCAGAACATAGCTTTTCGCTTTATGCTTCAACTTGTCTCACAGTTTTGAGAGTGCAACCTTGTTTTATAAAAAAGCTCATGTGCTCTAGGTATTATGGATCGTTTCTTTAATGAATAAAAATGTATAACTTGTGTCAAACACATATTATGATGTTTCGATAGTAGTGATACGTAATTTCCAGGTACCGAGGTCAACAATATACATAACACACCTTCTGGTAGTATAAGAAAAATTACACCTATAGTGGAGCGCTAAAGTGAAGTAACAATAGGGATAACTATAAACAGATATACCAGGGGATGTATCCAATACATAAAAAAACAAACAAAAAAAAACCCATTATATAGTGCAGATGGCAGTTGCTATTGCAGAGTATAACCCCGGAGTAGTCAAATCACTCACATGTGGTGAAGCCTATATAAATTAGCTCCGTAAAGATCGCAGTTATGCTTTTAGGGCAACATCACACATCTCCTTCAACGCAAATACTATATTGTAGTAATATTATGTATAAAAGCAACATGTGTAGACAGTTACAGTTTTAATATTTTTTTGTTAATAAATTACTATAGTATTTTAAGAGTCCTCTACAGCCTCAGGAACCTTCTTCGGGTAAAGTGCCATCCCCTTTATAGTGGCACTACATATCTCAGAGCCAGGACTTAAGCTCTGAAAAAGGTGAGCTCAATACCTGCCTTTACATTTTATCAATTTTATATTGGTTATTTTACACATTGGCAGTCCTGTTCTTTTTTCCTTCTTGGGAAGATACTGTGCATTGAAGGAGAGGTGTGATTCTGCCTTAAAAGCATAACTGCGATTTTTATGGATCCAAATTATATAGGCTCTACCATCTATTGTTTGTTTTTTTAATTTCTTTTTTTATGTACTGGATACACCACCCAGTATATCGGTTTATATATGTGAGGAAAGTCACCCCCCTATTGTTACTGCACTTTAGCGCTTCACTATACGTGTACTTTTTTTAGACAACGAGAAGGTGTATGTTTGTTTGCAGTGTGTGGGAAAGAGGGTATCCCACACTTTTGTGTAGAGCTGTTATTTATTTCACGTGAAGCACTTTTTGGTTATTTTTCTGGTTTATTGTCCAACAATATATATCAACCTTGGCTGCCGCGCAGGGCAAATGGCATCACTTTCGGCCACTAGAATTGATATTAGAGGCAAAGGTCCGGAAGCAAAAAGTGAGGGCAGGATGCCCATATGAACTTTCATTGGTTACACCACACCATGTGATCACAATAACCAATTAGGCACGATCATTTAAATAGAGACACTTGGACCTGGACTTTATCATTGCCAACTGAGAAAGCTATATCCAGTGAAACGCATCTTGGCAAGACTGAATTACCATAACTTGATAAATGCACTTATTATTTGTTTGTTGTTTAAATAGCTTTTAATGTTTGTTGTTTTAAGTAGTGTTAATAAATAATTGCCTTTAGGACCGCTGGTTGTCCTACTGTTCCAGACCATTGGTCGGGGAGTGTCATCCCGCAATCTGACACTAGGCATTTGTACCTTAGAGTCAGATTTATGGGTCTCTAGAAAAGGTGAGAGTTTTTTTTCTTTTTCTTTTTTTAATCACATCACTTTAAACATCTCCATGTGGACATACACTATTATATTCTATCTATATTTCAGTTTTTTTCTGAGAGCAGAATGCTTGGTTGTATAGTGAGAAATATTAGCAGTAAAAGGAGGTCGGCTCCTGCCTCAAGAGCACATCTGCAAAATGATTGAGCCCTATAATTTGGGCTCTAATAAATGTGAGTTTATTAACTAAATTATCCAGCAGATTGCACTTGTTCAGTACGATCTGCACTGTATGTTTCTTTCAAATACATTTTCACTTCTTACACTACGTTTTATTAGGGGTAAAATAAAATAACTTACTGCATGTGATTCTAGTGCAACACTATCGTTTTATAAGTTAAGCACTTGTAAACATCTGTGTTGTCATCCTGGTACAGTCAGTAAAAAAATGGTGTTAAACTAAATATGTAACTCCAAGAAGAAAAAAAAAAAAAAAAAAGAGAAATTGTAGTTTTTACGCCAAGCACCATAACCAAAACAGTTTAAGCAATTTTCCATTCTATTCCACTCTGACCACAGCTCTGCTCAACTAAGCAAAGCAGGCCAAGCTAATTGGCTGAGACAGCAGAGCACTCTGAGCCAATGGGCTCAAGTCCTGTATCAGACCTGCCTATCTCACTGAAGACATCTGAATTCCCCTGCAGGAGAAGACCAGATATGGCAAAGGCAGCTGGATACCTAGGTAGGTTATCAAATCATTCTAAATTGGTTTGATAGATTACTCTAGGAGGGTGCAATGGCAATCCTGGCATCGTGACCACTACACAACCTTTATTTTTGGCCTTCTGGAAAATAAAAAATAGATTGACAAAAGAAAGGGAATGGTGTATAATAGACTTACCTTTATTTCAAAGTATGCCTTCCCATTTGTCACTCCTTGAGTGGCTCTAGACCCAGACCACAAAGAGGGAAATGTGTAATTTAAGAGCGGGCGCCCCCCAAACCGGTCTGTATCCATCTTGAATTGCAGGTCACAAGTAACTGACAGTAGAAAGAAAAATAGGATATATATTACCTGAAGGCAAATTTGCCCCATTGTTAGTTAAGCTATGTATAAGCATGTAAAAAGTCAGTACTTACATTTATCTAGACACACCACCCGCTCATCAAACTCATCCTGTACAACATCTTTACTGGGAAAAATATCTCTAGTAAATCTTGAAAAGAAAAGAAAAAAATATGTATAGAAAGAATTGAACATGTCAGCCTTGACTTTTATACATCTATACAAAACCCACCACATAAAAATATATTTTCTTTTATAGTACGCAAAGCTAAAACGATATCAAGTACTACGGACTTCTATACAAAGGGAGCACATTAAAGGAACACTATAGGGTCAGGATCACAAACACGTATTCCAGACACTATACTGTTACAATTACTATCTAATCCCGCCCCATCTCCCCCGCCTCTCCCTTGCCCCCTAAATATAGTAAAAGCTTACCTTTATTCCAGACTGCTGGTGTTGGCTCTGACCCTGATCTGCCTCCTTGGCGGACATCATCATAAGTGATCTCAACCAAGAAGGCGGGCTGGGGTCTGCCAAACATTACCCTGGCCAATCAGCATCACCTCTTAGCGATGCATTGAATCAATGCATTTTTATGAGGAAAGTTCAGTGTCTCCATGCAGAGGTTAGAGTCACTGAATGTCAGTGCTGCAAGGTAGAAAGCCACTGGAGGCAGACTTAGTACTGCAATGTTTTACTTTGCAGCAATAAGTGCAATAGGGACACTGCACCAAGACCACTTCAATGAGCTAAAGTGGTCCGGAGGCCTATAGTGTCCCTTTAAAAGGGACATTACAGTCACCAAAACAACTTTATCTTAAAGAAAAACAGTTTTGGTGTATAGATCATCTCCCAGCAGTCTCACTGCTCAGTTCTCTGCCATTTAGGAGTTAAATCAACCCTAGTCACACCTCCCTGCATGTGACTTGCACAGCCTTTCTAAACACTTCCTGTAATGTCAGAGCGAATGTTTACACTTCCTTTATTGCAAATTTCTTTAAATTTTTAATTATCTCTTGCTCAGTTAAAAGCTTACTAGTCCTTGCAGGAGCCTCCTGTGTGTGAGATTAAATTTACAGAGCAAGAGCTAAAATTAAGAACAAGTAAGTGAACATCCAAGTATAAGTGACCTTGGATCAGTAACGGCAGATACCAATCCAATATAATTCACAATGTTTGACATTCTGGATAGAGATAGAAAGTTGCAGAGAGAATTTCTGCACAATTTTTATAAATAACAATAAAAGGTAAACAGACCTACAGAAAATAAGCATGAACTTATAAAATTCAGGAAAGAGGCCAATACAAAAACAGTGAGCGTTTTCCTTTACGTGCCTCAGCAAAGAGCATGAAGTGTCAAACCTGATGACAGCAATAAAAAAATAAATAAACACACACACAACTAAATTAGAAGACATCGTTTGGGGGTAACAGATCGGAGGTGTACTCATGACGGACAAGAGTGGCAGAATCTCAATACCATGTAATACCTTTGCAATATAGGTGGACCCAAAAAAATCTGGGGTTCAAATAATAGTCATTTTCGCCATCTTTGGCACAGTGTTAAGGGAAAACATCAATGCCAACTTTGTCTGAGATGTGCTATGTGAAGACTTGCGATTGCCTGGTGGAAGAGTGCCATCCATGATTGACATTTAAATGCTCCGGTCAACTTTCACATACATTTTTTGGTTTTGTGTTGATTTAGAAAGCATCTTTTTAATTTTTTGTTTTGTTTTATTTAAACGATTCTACCAGAGCACATAAGCCAGGCTGTTTATTTTTAAGTTATCTTTTTAAAAGTTATACCTTAAGAAAAATAGGGGCTACTTTTTCTTATGTATAACCTGCAAGTTGACAAAAGTTGGAGCTTTAGTCAGCCTCCACATTCAATGTCAATATTGTACATCCCTACTTCCAGTGTTTTACTTCAGTTAGCATTGCAATATCAGGCATGCCCTAGGGACAGCAGGGTTGGAGATTTCCTGCAACCACCATCTTGGAAGCGCTAAAATGTTGGTACCATGAATGTAAACCTGTCAGGAATGAAAATAAGAAATAAGTAGCGCCAGTTACAAGTCTACTAAATCTCGTTGGGAGGGTTTGGGGGTTAGGGTGAGGCATAGACAGGGATGGGGGAAAATGTCTCGACAGGGCCGCTTTAACATTTTTACGAGAACTGTGTATATTTTAAAATATAGTAAAACATGCAGGGGAAGGAAGGAGGGAGTAAGGAGCAACAAAATGATAGGAACAGGTAGGCATGAGGTTTGCCTTTATTTAAAATGTTATGTTAGATTTGAATAAGGTGGTTAGCGCGATGAACATGGATTAAAGAGAATTGAAGGGAGAGAGGAAAGCAATATAAATCCAAAACAGAAGGGTTCAAGAAGTCGCAAGTGGCTCTGCCAGATGTCAGTGGAGGCTGTGTAGAGTCATGTAGGAAACCCTCAGAAGGGTGTAGCTTGTGGTTGGCCATACCACAGACTACACGAGGTCAAGCCAAAAAAATCCTAGCAGTGCAAGCCAGATCAGTAATTGTGTCACAATTGTACGAAGCCAAGGTGATCAGGTTTTGTGAAAGTTCATAGTATTGGTCTTTGCCATGGATTTTACCAAGATTATTATTATTTTTTTTTAAATGACTGTCATATGGTCTTTGAGACCTACACAAAACAGACTCTAGTGTCAAAGGTTGAGTGAAGAGAAAAACAAGTGCTAGCAACATAGAAAACATCAAATGTCATAAAGGGTAAAGTAATAGGAACTAAACCAATTTAATACTGGGACCAGTAATACAATCACATCAAAATGCAGATCACATCAAGCCATGGGTACATAAAAGACTCTATAGAACACACCATATTTTTATTATATATAAAATAAGCATACTATACTCGCTATTACATAGTCCTGGGGAAAACCAAACAACTGTATAGTCAATAACCCTATCAAAGGCAACATAATCCAAAAACTCCAGGATTTATAATGACTCTTGCTGCTTTAGAGTGGGATGGCAAGCTTTACATCAGGCCTGTCCAACCTGCGGCCCCCCAGATGTTGCCGAACTACAACTCCCATGATTCTTTCAATGAAACAGATAGCCAGGGAATCATGGGAGTTGTAGTTCAGCAACATCTGGGGGGGCCGCAGGTTGGACAGCCCTGCTTTACATGAAACAGACCTCTTCCACCTCCCAAACCCATCCATCCATTTACACAGAAGAATTGTCTTCACCACAGACAATAGTGTAAGTTTTGCAGCTTTCTTGTAAATGGTAGTATGATGTAAAAGTGGTTTGGTAGGGTTGAAATCCAAGTGATCATCAGTAAGTTTACAATTAACCTGTTCTAACCTTCCTTAAATTTTTCACAAAGCACATTCAACCCGTCACACAAGGACTTTAAAGATTAGTACAACAGGAATTTTCTATTAAGAAGGGCAATCCATTTGAACACATCAAATTAATGTGCAGCAAGGTTTTGAAATCAGGTGCTCCGAGCACCAGGTCACCATATATGGAGAAAATGTACCTTAATATCCAAGCTGTAACACATTTAAGCCACATAGGGTGATTTAAGCATCCTGATGGCAAGGGATCCTTAAAATGCTTAAAGCTATTTTTCTAATCTAGTGTCAAATTCATAAGAGCCCTTCTTAAGTAAGTACCTCTGGTAATTTTCTAAATCACCAAGAGAAGGCAGTTGGATCCATACCATGGCCCTTCACTTTGTAAAAGTAGTGGGCTATTAAAAAAGACAGCATTGTGGTTTCCACCAGGGACTTATAGTCCTTGTAGTAAATGATTTTCCGTAGTCTTTTACAGTGCGGAATAAGCTAGAATATGCATTGGTGAGAAAACGGTATTGGCATGTTCCATTGAGGATCATGAAGAGGGGGCCAAATAAGCAGAGGGTTGGTCAATAAGAAGGTGCAGAAAAAGTAGCTTCAATCCACCAGAATGAAAGTGCAATCAAACAAAATTCTCCGACCAAGTGAATAAAGATAACAAGTCTGTTACTCCGTCCCGCACCAAACAAGAAAAAAAATAAAAAATAATAATAAATACACCTCTTCTGTGTGAAATAATAAAGAGTAAATCCTAACTTTGTCACAGGATGAAGTGCATTACCAATATAGGACAATCACCGAATAAGGCTTTATTTACGTAAAGGTGAGGGCGACCTAATATTGCAAATCTAGAGAAATACCAAACGCAGGGTCATAGAATGAGGGGGGAGGGGTGTTAATTGCAGCAGGTCAATCACAAATGCACCCCTCTTTTTTCAAAATATGGATTTCATATATTTGTTCATTGCTTGGATCCAAAGACGTGAATTTCGGAGTCCCAAGTTGTCGTAATAAATGTTAATTCCATAACTCCTTCAAAAGGGGTCACCGAGGAATAGAAATAAGTATTTGACAAAAAAAAAAAAAAAACAACAATATATTGTGCCACAAGGCCTTATGATGATATCAACTACATCTTGCAGACAAGGCCCAAAGCAAGCCGAAACAATCGTCTGAAGTTGCTGAATCTCTCGTGCAGAGGGGACTTGCTAGCATTTCAGTTCTGTACTGCCCTTATGGGTGGGATCAGTCTAATATGCAAATGGTATAGGTTCTCTTTGTAACGGCACAGGTTCTCTTTGTAATGGCACAAGTGTGCAAAAACATTGTGGAGATCGGAACAAAGACTCACCAAAGGGCAAGCAACTGAGGTATTGCTAAGCTTTTGCCAATTCTCAGTTTTAGAATCTCTTCTGAGATGGGAATTGATGAACAGGAATGATTTTATGGTCATGGTTTGGAAGGAGGAAAAACAAGCTTCTTCTAAGGGTGAAAAAGAATAATGCGAAAAAGGAAAACAAACAAAAGGAAAACAATTCTAGAAATTACATAACAAAGTATTCAAATGATGTGGCGATAGATCGGAGAGGTGGAATGGCAGAGGTTAAGAATTAGCATGTCAAAGGTATGAAGCAGAGATGAAGTCGGGAGGGTTGATGGGTACATAAGAGCAGAGGTTAAGAATTAGCATGTCAATAAGGGTCTGAAGCAAAAATGAAGTCGGGAGGGTTGATGGGTACATAAGAACATAAGAAGTAAAACAAAATAAAAAAAAAAAAAACAATTGCAAATAATAGCTTAACTGTAACCTAAAAAGTAAGGGAACATTTAACAAAAGGGATGTCCAGCAGGGCTTCGAGAAATTTTAAACTAAAAAAACAAAACAAAAACAAAAACCAGTAAATTTTATCACTAAAATAAACAAACTTGCAGCTTGGAATCCACAAGGCACAAAGTATCCCATTCAATATTCGTAAATAGGATAAAAAGGGGTTTCTATGAAAAATCCAAGATAAATATATGTGTGTGATTTCCCAATATCAGAACTGAGTAACACAAAGAGATCAATATAGGAAAAGGTTGCGCCAAAGCTGGCTATGGTCCAGCTAAAATATACAAAGTCCAAATAAATAGTGCCAGAACAAAGTCTCAAGGTGGGCCTTATGGGGCACTGGCGACTTGTGTAGAGGAATGTTCTCTTTATGGGTCAAGTGAAGGCGGCTTTCAGGATCCATATGTAAAGAGAGAAACAAGTAATAGTGCAAATATGTCTGATGCAAAGTATTGAATTGCAGGAAGAAGACATCTATCGAAATCCTACTCACGTGTAGTAGAGCTAAACCAGCTCTAGTGTGGATGGCATACAGCGGTACAATCCACGCTTGTAGGATACGTAGGGAAGTATTGGTCTTTAGATCCGTATGTGGGGAAAAAGAGACAGATGACAGGCGATACGTCTAGGAAGAGATGGTATGTACGACAACAGAGTCTACTATAGTCCTACTCACGTGGGGTAGAGCTCAAATCGTCTCTAGTGTGAAAAATGGTCTCTTAGGTTGCCATCAGGCTTAACAAGCCCAGTCAGTTTTCCCAGGGAGTGTTGCAGCCTACTTCATTCTGTTGCAGATACTGCGTTGGTGGTGGTGTGTGGGTTGGGGTCAGGAGCTGGCCCGGTTGGGCAGAAATATTGGCTAAGCTGGCATTCAAGTCAATTTTAACCAGGAGGATGAGGTATGTCACATCCCACCTGGGAGGTGAGCTGTGTATGACACTAGTATCAGTATTACTCAATGCCATGCAGTAAGTCTAGGATAATATGCAATATTCAGCTTGTAAAGGGGAAAGCTGTAGGGTTACAAGTCTGTACACACACAAAACGTGTTGGGTCTGGGAATGCAATCTTGCTGACCCTCTGTTTTTGTATGTTTATTTAATACTAATAAAGTGAATTTTGCACATTATACTGGAGGCTACATTGCAGTACTTCATTATCAATGCACTTAGAGCTCCAAAAATAGCTTTAACCTTTATGGATTCTCTGGCAACAACAGATGCCATAATTTTGGTGGAAGCTGCATCACACGTTGATAGGACCAGTCAGAAGACGCCAAGGCACAGAGCTTGCCGTGACTAGACTGCGAGTAGGTGATTTAAATTTTCTTTTCCTTGTTTTCAAGTTTGCTTATAAACCAAAGGAGTAGCCACAGTTCAATCCCTGCATCCCTGAACTTTGTTCATGGTTGTCTTTCAAGTCAGTTTTCACCACATGGTCCCTTTATTATTCATTTTATGATACTCACAAAGCATGGAATTATATTTTAACAAGATTTTTGCTTTGTATAATCAGTCCTCTTCAATATTTATAAAATAAATGGGCTAGGAGCAAGGTAGTGTGTCATACGGCAATCCCAGTTTCCTGGTATGCACAAGTAATAGTTCACTTGACATAAAAAGGGATTTGGCAATCCCTGTTCCACTCAGTGGGCTTGGAAACCTCCTAGCCTAGGTCTTGACAAAATTGCCTAAAACCTAGGAAGAGCAAAAATTAGGAGCCAAACAACATTTGCATTTTTCAGGCTTTTATTTTTTTAAATTAAATATAACTAAAAACTGTTACTACAGAATATTTTCAAGAGGCATTACATTCAGGGTTAGCAAAGTAGGATTATGGTTTGCATCACATTTAGGGTTAGACTTTGATTTAGACCTAAACCTAAAATATACTTTTCCAACTGCTCTTTCCTTACACCCATCCCCATTCCACTGCGCAACATACCAAGCATTTTCCTTTACTTTTCCTCCCCTTGACCTTTTCCATTGCTCTCTCTCTCTCTCTCTCTCTGACACCCCTTTTTCGTTTCTTCCTCATTCCACAGCTCATTACATTTTTCTGTTCCTCTCCCATTCCTTTGCACAGTTTCCCCATTTATCTCCCATTTTCACCCATCCTACTGTTTCCATTATGCTCACCCTCTACTCCCCTTTTCCATCATCTTCTACCTGCTTCTCCTTGTTTTCCATTGCTCTACCTCTTTTCCTCAACCCTCCCCTGCTTTTACATTGTACTCCTCCATGCCATTGATCCCCTTCTACCCCTTTTCCTCCTATTTCCATTGTTCTCTTTTTTTTGTCTCCCTAACCCATCCTATAACTTTCCCTACTCCACTCAATAATTACAGCCACCATCCACTCCCATTACCCTATGTTTCTATTTTGAAGTACGAGGATGGTTGCTTGTTGGTATCCAAGTGGGCTCTCTCTGTCGGCTATAAGGGCAAAGAGTTTTATTTTGTTTCCACAAGCCATTATTTAGCCAGAGAGAATGGAGGACATACAATTATCATCTATTTATGCTCCCACTGACTGCAAACCTAGCCAGGTCTAGGGAAGTTAAATACAGTCACAAAAAAATTTAACAAAAGGACAATAACCAAAAACATTTAAAAAGATTTAGAGATAAGTAATACATGCACTTCTTCCTTTCCATTTTTTTTATTTCTCCCCCATTCCACTGCTCCCTCTATTCTTTTCGTTCCCTTCCCATTCCTTTGCACCATCTTTTTTCCTTCTTCATCTCTCTGCCATTGAACTTTTCATTCCACCCCAGCTGTATTTTCACTCAACTCTCATTTTCCATTATTCTGTCCCTCTACTTCACCTTCCACCTTTTTGCTCTATTTCTCCCAGCTTTCCATTGCGCTACACCCTTCTCTCCCGCATTTTCCCCACTTTATTCTCCCATGTCAGTGGATCCCCTTCTGCCCATTTTTCACTATGCTATTTCCCCCTTTTTACATTCCTCTCTGCCTCCATCTAGCCCCCACCACTTCTTCCTAATCCCTCAACTCTGCCTACACCACTTGATAACTACCCTGTTTTCATCATGTGTTTATGCTCCCATTGCCTGTTAATCTTGCCAGTACCAGGGAAGTTAAATAGTTGTAGAAATACATTAAAAAAGGACAAGAGCCAAAAGCATTTATATGTCCACTGCGTCCTCCCATTTTTAATTTCTCCCCCATGTCATTGCTCCCTCCATTCCTTAGCACAGTCTCCCATTGTATTTTCACCCATCCCATTGCTTCCATTATGTTCTTCCTCTACTCACCATTTTTTAAATTTGTTTTTCATCACCTTCAATCATTTTCCATCAGCTTCTCCCAGTTTTCAATTGCTCCAAATCTCCACCCCATTTTTCCATAGCATTCCACCAAGATAATGCTCGTTCACCCTTTTCCCACTGCTAAAGCCCCTCTTTTCCCATTGCCCCATCCAGCCCACCACCCTTCGAATGAATGAAGGGTGCGCCATTAACAGCTATTTTTACCATGGATTTGTGCTCCCATTGCCTGCTAATCTTGCCAGGACCAGGGAAGTTTAATACAGTGGTAGAAAGACATTAATAAAAGGACAAGAGCCAAAAGCATTTATAGGTCTACTGCTTTCTCCCATTTTTAATTCCCCCCCCCGATTAAATTGCTCTCTCCATTCTTTTAGTTCCTCACCCATCGTATCTTCACCCATCACTCAGTTTTCATTATGCTCTGTAAAAATACATTTACCAAAGTGGACGAGAACCAAAACATTTAAAAAGGTTTAAAGATTTGTTAAGCCAACACATTAAGAAACGTGAAGAAAAAATAAAATTCCTAACCGATCGCAATATGCCTCCTCGTTAAATTCATGATATGTACGACCTTGTTTTTCATCCTCTTGTAGGTTCTTCATCCCATGATGCTCTTTCTGTGCAAATTCATCTGCAAACAAGAATGGGTATGGCACAAAATGGAAACAAAATCTACATTCACAATTTAATATATAAAAAACATCTCAAACTGATATATACAATTTACCTCTAAATCCACATACATCTTCTCTGTTAATCAATCCTAACTTAAATAGACTTTGCTTTGGAACTTTTTGCTGTACCTTTAAATCCACATACATATTCTGTTTTAAAAAGGGATACACTATGCACCCCCAAAAAAATTAAGCTTCATGAAGTGGTTTTGGTGTATAGATCATAGCCTTCCAGCTGAAGTGGTAGAGGTTAACACAGTGAGGGAGTTTAAGCATGCGTGGGATAGGCATAAGGCTATCCTAACTATAAGATAAGGCCAGGGACTAATGAAAGTATTTAGAAAATTGGGCAGACTAGATGGGCCGAATGGTTCTTATCACATTCTATGATTTCTATATCCGTGCTGTGTCCCATCTCAATTTTCTGGCATTTAGGAGTTAAATAATTTAGTTTATACAATTCTATCCACAACTCCCCTGGCCATGAATTATTATAATTTTTTTAAGTTTCATTTTCAAACTGATCTTACAGCACTTTGCCACAGAAGCAGCAGATAAGAAATAGACTTTTGTTCAAATGCGTTTTAGGTGGGTCAAATGAATCAAATTCCTTTAAATTAAATGCCCGAAGGAATTGATCTATTTGCTGGAATTTACCTGTGGAGTCTTATCTAATTATTAACACCTCACAAGTAAATCTGGACAAATCGATTCATACAGGCATTGATTAAAAAGACCCCCTCACACCCTCCAAAAAAAAAATTAAAAAAATTATTAATAAGAATTAAAAATAATTTCATGTATTTGACCCACCTGAAAGGCATTGTGCAAAAGTCTAATAAAAACAAATCCTTAAACACACTGTGCAATAAGAGAAGGTAAGAAAAACAAAACAAAAAAAAAAAACGACCTCTTCAGGAAAATCCAGTATTGTTAGTGGATAGGCAGTTTTGTTTACCTGCATGCATAATAATAGGAAAGTAACAAAGGCTCCTAGCAGATAGTCTCCAGGACCCAAAAATGTATGGTAGTGAGGAGAGACAGGTCAAACAACCAGATACTCAAAGCACCAAAAAAGCTACATCTTAATTTAGTGGGTTTGGTTCAATGACCCAGTACCATCACTGACAAATGTAACAGGAGTTGCTGTTTGTGAGAAATGGCAGTAATAAAATTTGTCACCAAGGATGCCTCCAGTGACTTTCAATTAATGCAAGTCTTTACAATTATCATTGTTAAAAATGGGGAAAGCTGGGGGGCGGAGCCTACAAGCAAATGAACAGGACGCCATTTCTGCCAGCTCCGACTCATATCTGATCAATCCCACAAATATCAGCCAACCCGAGCCCGATCCGAACCCGAAACCCTCACCACCCGCTCCAGTAAACCAGCCGGCAATGATTGATGCCTTTCTTCGCCACCCAGAGACTACCCCAAAGGAAACGAAGGTCTCAGGCCTACCACACGCCATCGATCCCGGACCTGGGGGAGCTGCTGGAAAGCATAACGGCAAGAGGAGCCGAACAGGCACATACCTCAACCCCGACGGCACACACGCAGGCAATGGACAGACGATCACAAAAACCCCAAGCCGCAACGGAGACCAGGGACATTGGAGAGCTGCTCCAGAGGCCTACTCCTCACAGACCCGTGTCCGCGGAAGTACCGCAAGTGGCGACACCCAAACACCACCCGACCCGGGAACAACAACAAGGCGAGGAGACCCCACTAACCTCGGTGCAAGACCCCTCTGATGACTCTGCCCTGACAACCAAACGGGACCTAAAAATATTATTAGCCGACATCCACAAACTGCTGGCCGCCGATTCCGCCCTCTTAAAAACGGAGGTACACGCGGTCACAGAAAGGGTGAGAACCACAGAGGAAGACGTGATGGCAGTGCAGAGCCAACTAGCTAAACTTGATGAATCAATAATCCAAATGCAAACCACTCAGCAAACACTCACACACAAATTAGCAGCGATGGAAGACCGCCAAAGACGCACCCATATTAAAATAAGGGGAATCCCAGCTGCAATCACGGCAGAGGAACTCCCACATTATATCCGCAGACTCTTATTTACAATCCTGCCGCACACAGCGGCAAAAAAAAAATCACCATAGATGGAGTCTACCGTCTCGCCAGCACCACCCCACTCAAACCTACTCAGCCCCGGGATGTGATCCTCAGATGCCTTACAATCCAAGATAAGAGCCAAATCATGTCGGCCCTAAGAGGTAAAACGCCACTAATGTTTGAAAACACCTCTCTCACATTCTACCATGACCACACAAAGGCAACACTTCTGCAACACAAAGCTTTTGGCACGGTCACTGCACAAATCCGAGGAGCAAACCTGGCCTACAAGTGGGTTGCAAACTGTACAATCATACTCACCTGAGATGGGATTACTCATACACTAACAATAATGAGTGAGGCACTAACATTCCTACGTAACCTGGGGATCTCTACTCCAAACCCTGAGACAACTGGAACTGCAACAACAGGACTTTGGGACCCAGCCACGGTGGTCCCCTTCATCCCAAGGGAATCCAGACTGCAGAATGCGGCCCCAAGACTCTCGGGACAGAGACACACTGCAGCCCGAAAGATGGATCAACAAGAGAGTCGTCAGGAACTGGTGAACTAAGAGCTTGTTAACCTGTTGGGCAATCTCCGCATTTAACTTAATTTACCTTTTTTAGGCTAAACGGGCAAGATATTTGCATTTTTCTATCTAGTTATACTTCCAGATGTCAGGGGCCTACTCACAAAGTGGCCTCGGAACAAGCTTTGGCACAACTGTTCAAATCAGGTCTACAAACTATACAAAGAGATACACATGTCATGTAAAACCTTTGTTCTGTCCAATGTTTAACCATGTTATATACTACCAAAAATGGTGCGTTACATACGACAAATATTTCTTGCTTCTACTTTACCTACCTATACTGTAACCCTGTCACATGTTACGTGAATTTCAACGCACCTCAAAAATAAAGATTTTTAAAAAAAATAAAAAATAAAAAAATGGGGAAAGCTTCATGTTGATTTCACAACATACAGTGTTGAAAGCAACTGGGTAAAAAAATAAAAAAATAAAAGTTTAACATTTTATTGTAACGTGTGGGTGGGGCACACATAATTACAAAATGCTGGCATCAGATGTCTCTTCTGATAAAAATGCTCCTCTTAGCTAAATGTGCCCAGTCTTTACCGGTTTCTCACAGTACAGGATGGATAGTTCCTAGGGAGGTTGGTGGGACCAAACTGTTTCAATTCAGGGACACTTTCACAGCTGGGTCCTGGCTGCATCCTGGGGATTAGTAAACCATGTTTAGGTATTAAACTTCCCCTCTTCCACACATAAGCAGAGGGTATATACTCCAGGGGCAGTTGCATTCGATCACAGAGGATGACCATGTTGGAATAGGTAATATGAACGTGGAATACACACATAGGCTGCATTACATTCCACAGTTATCTTAAGGCACTACTGCACATACGAGCAGCAAATAGTGGTTTTGGTACAAAATTCAAATTTGATAAAGCCTAAACTCTGATCGGTATTCCAACTGTGGAGAGCAAGTCAGCACCCTGTTGTGCACCATACCTGCTCTCCTGTGCACTGTGACATTAATAAAAAGATGAAGGATGTTTCTACTATTAGCTGACCTTTTTTATTCATAACCATGTTTATATATTAATAAATAACTTGGCTTTCTTACCAGATGTCTAATCCAGTGTAAACGCCTCAGAAGCAGCACAGAGAACTTATACTTCTTTATGAATTCTTTATTGCAGTTTTCACACTAAAGCCACAGAAATGGCCAACAAGGAATATATTATTTATTTCATGGTTTAAAAAAACAAAACGCTTTTCTCAAGTCAGAAAGAGCACCATTCAGTGGGTCAGGCCTCTTCCCCCATAGGTCCACCCTAAGAGACTGGTTTTTCGAAAACTACACAAAATTCATTATAACCCCTACCAGTTCTTTCTCATCTACAAGGGTCTGCGATTACACCACCTTTTTCTGCTATAGAAGCTGAAGGGCAGTTTCAGACTCATGCAAGTCAAGTAATTTGGAATTTTATTTAATTGCACCAGTAGACATAGAAGATGACTATTTGCACATTTTAATAAATCCTTCTTTGAGCTAACGTCAGCTCCAAGAATTTTCACCAAAATTCTTGTGGCCTCGGACGCTGCTTTAAAAATAGCAAGAGATAACTAGCTCCTTTAAAAGAGCTTAAAAGGGATACTATAGTCCCAGGAATATAGCTGCCTCTGCCTCCCCCGCCGCTGTGAATAAAGGGCTAAAAAACATTTACCCGATGCCCCTTTCCTGTAACATGTTCAGCCTCACCGTGCGGCATTTGCACCCAGAGGCCGTGCCTCTGTATATCGCACTCCTTCAAGATGCTGATGGATGCCGGCAGCTGCAGATCCACGCCAAATTATAGCCCCACATTGATGCCGTCAGCATGCGCGTGACGTCATGCGGGAGACACGCACGCACGTTCTGGGGTCAAATGCAGATTTTTGCCCAGTCAGAGCGGAAATAGACTTATTTAAACTCCTTATGCCTTTTCATCATTGCCCTGTCATGGTTTCCCTAGTGGTTGGCCGAGAGTGTGTTTCTGAACGTTTACTTCTGGTTATTGACTTTGGCTCAGTATTGACTTCCTTGTATTCTGGTTTCCCTGACTTCTGGCTTTGCCTAATTGTTGCCTCTCTTTATGTGTCCCTGAACTTGGCTAGCATTCTGACTATTCTCTGGTACATTTAGTCAGGCCATTCTAAGGCCCGGTAAGACGTTTCCTATTAGTCCTTGCTGTGATACAATTCTACGTGCTGGATCAAATAATCTTGACACCTCCGACGTCATCCAAGAGGGAGTTAATACACATGCAAGTGCCTCATGCACATTAGTCTCTCCCCCCCCCCATAGGAAAGCATGGAATCAATGCTTCCCTATGGGAAAATAGCTGACACTGGATGTCATCATGCAGAGCGTGAGGATGTAGAGCGTCAGTTAGCGGACCAAAAGTGCACTTACATTACGGAAGCGCCTCTAGAGGCTGACTGGTCAATGCATTTAATAATGCATTTTTACATTGGGGTATATCTAAAACAACTGCAAAACCTGCCGTTCTCAGTCTTGTTTGCTGTCTTTGCAAGCCCTCTTCTAACCACGTCCAGATTTTCTACAGCTGTCCAACCACAGTGCAGCTCAATCAGGAGTCTTTGCAAGGCAGGAGCTCTGAGCAATTGCGGCCTCTTGAGTTTACCTCCACAGAGCAAACTAAACCAAGAAGTAACAGGAACGGTTGTTTGATGGTAAGCTAAAGTGCTTTATGGATCTTGAGTGTCCCTTTCAGTGTGATCTGACAACCAGTCTTTAGTAACATATTAATCACCAAAGAGGAACACACATTACATTCCACTGTTAACTATGCAGCCAGATTGTGAGTTAGGTCAAAAACCTATAGAGGTTATGTCTGCAATCTACAACAGAGGTTCTGAGAATTGCATGGAAGACAACCACAGCAGAGGTTCAAGCAGACTGGGATCTGAGCTAAATCAACATTCCAGGAAACAAAGTTATTTGGTAGACCACTGATAGACCTCAGGACCTCTCACAAGAACAAGAAGATGCATTTCTCATCAATCAGGAATATGAGGTCAGATATTTTTGATGCTCGCTCAGTCTCTTTGTTTTCAACCAGCTTGTATCTTTCCTCTGTTGACCTTATTTCTCTGCATCTTCAGTAAGATCAGCCTGGATTACAATCATTGCAATATTTCTGTATTGGGACATGAGGGTATGATTTAAGGATCTGCTGATTCCCTCACCGGGAAGATTTTGATAACTTTTTCTTTCGTCAGACATTCTGGAATCCAAAGTAATAGTTTAGACCCTTGAAACCTTTCAATTAAAAAGAAACACTTCGAGTACCAAAACATTCTTCAGTGGTAGTTATGGTGCCGCGAGTTCCCTGGAACCTTAAATTTGTCCATTCTGTGCATAGCTGGCTCATTAGCTAAGAGCATTAGTACTCTCAGCCTGTGAGCTAAGCCCTGTCCCGCAAGACTTTGTTCAGTGCAGGCTTGTAAGAAAAAGGGAAAACAAATAATTCAGCAATTCATCGCAGAAACTAGACACCTACTGTGGACCTAATTTCTTTGATAGATTTCTTCCCCCTTTTTTCTTAACAAGTTTACCAAGCTATATTAGGTGACCGCATTTGGAACGTGAACATATGCTATAATGGTGAATCTGAAGTGGTGATCTAAGCTATAAGGATTGTTAACAAAATCTAAAGTTTTATGGCATTCACTGGGTTAACATATAGCTGCTGTTTATCCAAGCAGGACACCCACTACCTGGCAAACTGGTTTGGGGAGATCCCACACCTTATATACACCAAAAGAAATGTTTTGTTTAATAACCGTGTTAAATAAAAATGTCCCTCCTACACATGTGGGTGCAATAAAATATTACAATTAGATCAAATCAAATAAGAGGACTTTAAAAATAAATAAATAATTTTTACGTAAAACTGGCAGTGGTATATCTGTAAATAAAAAAATCCATTTAAAAAAAAAACTCACTAAAAAAAAATCCATTTATCAGCTGTTAAAAGGTCAACCTTAGTAGATGCGGTTTAATAAAAGTTCACGCAGAGTACCTGCGCTTTCTAATTTAGAGAACCTTGCCACTCCAATAGTTGTAAGGCACATGAAAAGGTTTGCGCTGTGTGTTGTAGCTGGCACTTTAAACCTGAAACTTATCTTGCAGACTGGCATAAAATGCCACGTTCGCAGTGGACATAGAAGAACGGAGAAGAATACTACCTTGCGTGAAACCAATGAAAATAAAAAGAAAGAAAATAAATAAATAAAAAATAAAAACTGTATGGTAAAGAATACAAGGTAAACTTGCATTATATCAATCAGCAGTCTATGTGCCATTGAATTCGGACTGCCGTACGCGCTGCAGCCTTCTCCTTGATCGTGGGTATTACCGGACGTACCGACTTCCCTGTATCCTGGCAACCAGACGTTTCGTCTTTATATCACACATTCCAGTGATATTGATACAGACAAAACAGCGTGTATGGATTTAAAAAAAAAAAAAAAAAATTATTTACAGATATACCACTGCCAGTTTTACTTTAAAAAAAAAAAAAAAAAATGTTTTGTCTTGTTCCCCATTTATATGTCTGATTACTATAGGAGTAGGAGAGAAATATTATTTAGCGCAGATTATCATTTTTACTGGTGTATTAAACTATAAGGGTTGTCTAAGAGGTATTGACTAGTAATATATCTTTCGGCATGAATATGTTTAGTACAGGGATCTTTCAGTGGCAAAGGAGGCAGTAACTGGCATACCCAAGGTAAGTTTAATTACGTTTAAGTTCAATTTTAAAAAATGGTCTACCTGTGCAAGGACACTCTTGGCTCCATAGTCACTAGTCAATAGTGGACTGTAGTAGTGATGGTGCTTGGAGTGTTCCTATACCGTTTAGGCTTCTAAAAAGTTCATCCTGAAGAATATAGGTTTAGATCAGGAGGTGGTGGGCATCTAGTATTATTCTCTTGATCCAGAAGAAGGGAAAAAAAAATATTTATTTTAAACAATTGTTAATTTTGCCACAAAAGTGAAAACAAATCCAATCCAGACTCAAAACTGGCAGCCAGATGTCTACTTGGATCAACAAGTTGTTTCCCATATTAACCATTATATCCTTGAAGGATCAGTTTAAAATAAACGAATAAATAAATGCTGTTATGCTTTATTAAGAAAATACAGGAAAAACACATGTTCCTGCAGTAAAGATTCCTTTCTTTGACCATATGTGAAATCTCTAAAGTTTAAATGAGTGAACTCTTGCCCTTTGTACCATCCATTAAAAGAACAAACACCATAACCACTACACCACAATGTAATGGTTGCTGTGCCAAGAGTGTCCTGGTATAACCACTGTAAGTAGTGAATCAATTCTTAAACAGTTTGACCTCTTACCTACTGGAAGCTTCTGCTTAGGCACTTCTATTATATAGTACACAATATACCCAAACAGGATTATACAAAACAAAGTAAGACTTAAAGGACCACTAGAGTGTCAGGAAAACAAACTCTTTTTATTGACACTATATAGTCCTTAGGTCCCCCCCGCCCTCAGAGCCCCCCTCCCGCTGGGCTGAAGGGGTTAAAACCCAATCAGCCACTTACCTTAATCCAGCGCCGGGGTCCCTCTGCACGGTGACCTCTCCTCCCTCTCCGACGTCAGCTCCCGAGTGGAGCCGAATGCGCCGCCAGAGCTGCGCGCACATTTAAACTGCTCATAAGAAAGCATTGCTCAATGCTTTCCTATGGGAGTTCTGCATGCTCAATGCGATTTTCGTATTGAGCCTCGCAGAAGCGCCTCTAGTGGCTGTCAGAAACTGCTATGTTTACAGCAGCAGGGTTAAAACCTGGGGGACCCGGGACCCAGGCTACTTCATTGAGCAGAAGTGGTCTGGGTGACTATAGTGGTCCTTTAACGTGTAGTTATTGCTGGTGTGAAGGAGTCAATAGCAGCTCCCCCAGGGGACTTTGCCAATAACTCCTTCCCACAAACAATAGTATACAAAATCCTGAATTCTACAAGGACAAAGAACAAAACAAAAAAACATAGCGCAAAACAATTTAACGTAAATATTTTGCAGTACCCACTGTGTGCTCCACAAAGTACAACAACGAAATAGAAAGTTGTAGCAAAAATAAAATTAAAAAAGGATAATAATATCTACTGTCCGACGCATAGCAACACATACCCAACCGAGAACCAATGGAATCAGAGGTTCTGCTCTATTTAAACAGGAGGGGAGGGTTATGTCAGATATTTTGATTGTTGCTTTAATTGATGGTCCCGGAAATCCTATAAGAAAGAAGCACGTTGGATGGTATTTTATTATCCTCTCTAATAAATGTTTTTGCTACATCGTTCTATCCCGTTGAAGTGCCTATTTAGAGCAGAGTCAGACAGAGGGTATTGGGTGTGCTACCTATGCAGGACCCCAATACATCGGTGGAAGCACCTTAAAATGCTGATACACTACTATCTCCTGTGAGATCAATTATATAGCGGTGAAATATTGATGGTAAATTATATAACACTATGTTGCGTATTACTTTCTCTTAGATTACAGCTGTGTCCCCTATTGGATTTTCTAAACTAAACAGTGCAGGGTTATGTTATAGGCGGACAGAATCAGCGGATTTCTCTCAGCCAATAATTTATGTCCTGCACAGCCAGTCCTTGCGTAGAAAGACTACGGTCAACCTTCTGAAACCGATTTACTATTTATAATGGGGGGGTGGGGGGGAGAGGAGGTGAGGGAGGAAGACAGATAAACAGTTCACCAGAAAGCAATTTGAGAGCTTTTTAAACTGGATATACATACACACCCACACAGACCACATTTTTGCTAAAGTAAACAGATTCAAAAGTTTTAGCCTTTTACAACTAAAATCTTCTATTCTCCTAATTAATGCTGTAGCTAGCCACTGCGCTTTCTGAATCTATAATATGGGTTCTTACATTTGATTTACAATAAGGCAAGATTATATTTTTACCCTGAAAATTAAATCTCATTTTCATGCAGAACAATACTTTACAGGACTATCTAAGAATAGGAAGAGAGAGGGCTTGCAAAGGTTGCAGTCGAAAAGTCTGCTGCTTTTGCAAGCAATTGTTTTTCATACAACCCCAAAGAGTGCAAAAAAAAAAAGTGATATATATATACACACACACACACACACTCCACTGTAAAGAGTCAAACTTGCCAGGCTACTTCTAGTGCCATAATCACTATAGTGCACTGTAGCTGTAATGTTAAAGTGTTGCTTCAAATGGGGAATATAAGCACCTTTCAAATGGTTTGGACCTTACCTGGGTCTCCATTGTCTGGGAAATCCTCCTCTTTACATATACCTTAAGCAGAAGTTCCAGCGTCTCATTTAATATGGGTTGAGAATAGGTTTGCCCTACACTCTCTGCTAAAAAATGCTTTTTTTTTTTTTACTAAGCCATTAAACCAGGGGATGGCACTAAGCCTTTTTAGCCAGTACAGTGTGCACTAGTAGCTATGCTGCCTAAAGTCCCTTTAACTGCTTTGAAAATAAGTACAATAATAATAATAATAATAATAATAATAATAATAATAATAAACCATACAAAGCAAACAGTAAATCCCAAATTTGCTCTGGTCCTCAATGTCCTGCACACCTGTAAAAAGAAGCCTTAAGGGGGTTAACATGGGGAGCATTTTTAACACAGAATAAAATACCAGATTCCACAGCGCAAGCTTCAGCTTCTTCTTCCATTTCCTCCTCCTGGGGGGTCAATCTGTCACTTTGTTCAGCAGGCTCTGCTTTCACCTCTGCTGGCTCGATGATCTCCTGACATTCTTCATCTTCCTCCGCTCCATTCTGTATTCCTTCCTCATCCTCGCCATCATCTTCACATGTCACCATGTCCAGAGCGCTGTCCTCCATCTGAGGTCCTGCCATTGGCAGATAACGGCGGGCTCCGAGCCTGGCTGATAACACGGTTCGGCAAACTCAGCCTGTGGGATCTCTCACACAGATTGATAGCTTGTATTATGGCCGGCTCGGAGCTGAGAAACACAGAGGACCGGGAGCACTGACACACGCTGGAAAGGAATTACGGAACTGGAGAGAAAACCTTGGTTACCGGAAGTAAACGAACACCACGCGGAAGTAACTTTTTAGGAGAGGGGAGACTGGGGGTTGATGTTAGGGTCTGAAAGTCACACACACACAGAGTTATGGGGCAGAGCAAGCTGAGGCGATCATAGCATGGTGTTACAAGCCACAGGCAGATTGCTCTGTTTTATTATTAATTTAAAAAAATATTTAATGTTTATTTTTAATTTTTATAAATTAAGTATTATTAATGAATTAGACAACATGCATTTACATACCTCCAAATATTGCAAATGGACACAGAGGGACACTCATTTTAGCAGGGGGGAGGGAGAACGTTTAATATTAACTTATGAAGATGAAATGTAATTTAGCACAATGTATTTTATTTAGACAGACTAATTTCTAAACACACTTATTGTAGTTTAAACCTTCAAAGACCAAGTTTAATTTGTTAGTTTTTCACTTAAGAACCAAAGCAATTTTGCTCTGTGTGTGTTCATCCACAATTTACATCTTTCTTATTTACTGCACCAACACATATTATATATAATGTTTTAGTAGACAGTGTCTAGTAGACAGCGATAATGGAGGACTTAACCCTTCAAGGTAAATATTGCAGTTTATGAAAACTGCAATAATTACACTTGCAGGGTTAAGGGTAGTGGGAGTTGGCACCCAAACCACTCCAATGGGCAGAAGTGGTCTGGGTGCCTGGAGTGTCCCTTTATTTCAAAATACACTAAGAATTGAATTACATCAATCTATTTTGAGTCTGGCACTCCCAGTCTTGTACTTACGCACTCACACGCTTTTGTAAACAATACTTCTGCTCTATTATACAGTGACATACACCAATATGTTGACATTTCAGTCTGACTCCTTACTTTTTTTAAGACAAATACAACATCCAAAATCACAATTTAAATTAGCATAGTGTATGTAAATGAAAGAGATTGTGATAAAATCTGGGCGTTGTGACGTGCTGAATGACGTCAATGCATTCCTTGCCCCCACGGAAACAAAAAGCAAACCTGAAATTCAAGCAATTATTAGGTGTGTTATAAACTTCATCCACATCAAAGGGAAATGGTGACAGTGAAACTATATTCAGATACTTGTAGCATTATGTGCTACAATGAAAAGTGATAAGGTTACATTATAACCCAGAGCAAAAGGAAGCCATGAGTAAGGGAGAAGATCACCTAAACTATTACCAAACTGAAAGACAAATGAGGATATAATTGTAGATTATGCTAGCTTTAGTGTACCTATAATCTTAATTTTATTAATGACAGGAGGCGAGTATTTGCTTTAGTCTCTCTTTACTAGAACTCCACAGCAGCACAGAAAAACAACCAATCAGAAAAAAGTTAGGTACTATAAAACCCCCTTCCCATTGCATCATTTCCTCTTTCAAGCTGCGACAAAACAGAACAAAGGCAGAAAAAATAATAGGAAGCAACGAAGGCCAGATACGATGAATACAGCAATGTCCAACGTCTGAGAAGAACTGTCAACCGGATAGCGTTGATGGACTGAAAATAAGTCAATGCCCACCATCCACGAACAAGCGCCACGCCAGATAGTGTTGAAGGACTGGAAACTGAAACGAGAGAAAAACAGAATCGAACAGGTTGATTATCCAATGAAATGTATTTTGAATAAACTTGTAGATACCCAATGTAGCAAACAAAATTACCTTAATATGTAGATATCCCAACCCTACTTATGAAAACAGGTGACAGGTAGCAGAAACAACAAGCAGAGTTGTATACGTACCTGATTAATCCAAACTATAAAATTTAACAAGGGAGGGATAAGAACGGGTGGGAAATACTCGCCTCCTGTCATTAATAAAATTAAGAATAAAATTAATATTATAGGTACACTAAAGCTAGCATAATCTACAATTTTATAACATGACAGGAGGCTTCGTATTTGCTGTTTTAACGCTCAGCCAACAAATCCAACGCTGCTTGTTTCGCTGGTACCCATTCCGAGAATATTAGAGCAATCCTAAATGGACCTTCCAACTGCGAGAAGTGACCTCCGTTGATAGATCCATTGTACGTGGGGTTACGACCTGTTCCCTAGCAGTCGGTCCATGAGCTGCCAAGTTGACCTATTAGCCATATTCCTGTAGGTGTAAAGTGCCGAGGGGTCGCGAGAAGAGACTTACAACGTGTCTCGACTCTTGATGTGGGAGGTGATTCCTCCGATCGTGACAGGTTCACCAGGCGATGTGGCCTTGCAGACAAACTCCAACCTCAGGCTTGCGCCTGTCAGGTTCCCTGTTAATATTGCCTCCGAGGAGGACAACCTCTCTTCATAGGGGCTCCCCTCCCCTAGCATTTCGGAAATTCCGTCCGTTTTCGCGCTGGCCGCGCTAGCTCCTCCCCCTCTTATGACGCGACGGCTGCGTCGACGTCATGACGTCATCATTAACGTGAAGTGCCGGGAACCGCAATTCCAGACCTTTTGGGGGCGTGGTCTCAATTAAGGTGACAGGGTATTTAAGGGAACTTTTACTACTGCTCATTGCCCTGTCGTGGTTCTAGCTTGCTAGTCACTCAGCACGTTCTCTCTCTTAGTGTTTTCGGTTTTGACCTTGCTTGTACCTTTGTCCTGTTGCTCTCTCCTCTCCTTTGACCGGGCTTGTTCCTCGCTTACCTGTCCTCCGGCTCCCTCGACCTCGGCTTACCTTTTGACTATTCTTGTTTTGTCCGTACGTTAGTCCGGCCATTCTAAGGTCCGGTATACGTACCTCCTCCTGTCCGCACTCTGCGTATTGGATCCCTGTCACTATCCTGACATTACGACAGGGCCAAATGGATCCTGCAGGTGCTAGTCCTCCTGACCCCAGATTTGAGGCCATAGACCATAGAATGGACCAAATGGCTCTAGCGTTACAAACTTTGCTAGCACGTCCCAGTACCCAGTCAGAAGAAATACGTTCTACAGCTAGCCACCCGCTAAGTACTGGTTTGGAAGTAGCCACTGTAGGCGCATCTTCCCATGTGACTTCCCCGTTACGTTATGGGGGTTCGCCTGATGCTTGTCGAGGTTTTTTAAACCAGATAAGCATACATTTTGAACTTCAACCCCGGGCTTATCCTACTGACAGGGCTAAAGTAGGCTTCATTATAACACTGCTAATAGACAAAGCACTTAGATGGGCCAATCCCCTTTGGGAGAATGATAATCCTTTAGTCTACAACTATACTGCTTTTGTCACAGCGTTCAGAAGGACTTTTGACCCCCCAGGAAGGAAGATTAATGCTGCCAGATCTCTGTTACGCCTTAAACAACAGAATAGAACCCTTGTAGAATATGCATTAGAGTTTAGATCACTGGCAGCAGAGGTAAAATGGAACGAACAAGCTTTTATGGATGTATTCTTGAATGGGTTGTCTGATGAGATTCTAGATGAGATTGCCACAAGAGAACTTCCAGAAAATTTAGAAGATTTAGTGTCTTTCATTTCCAGAATAGATGAACGCATGAGACAGAGGCAGAATACTCGGGAAAGAGTTAGTAGACC